ATAACCTGGGGACTGCTTGTATACCTTTTAACATCTCCCAAAGGTAATGTTGTATGTAACTGAATACATCCATGTGAAATTTCAATGTGGTTGAATCCTTTACGTGAGGGAATGAAAGGCTAGGAGAGACAATTTTCCATGATGCTTGCTTTTTAATGGAGTTCAGAAAGTTTTGAAAGAAGTTTCAAAACTAATCTGTTTTCAAAAGATAATGAAAAAGAAATAGAATTTGATTTTAAAACAGAAAATTTATGTGCCTACTCACAGCTCACTTGGATGGTGTGAGTGGGTGTTGGATTAGGATAATTGGATCCACTTAACCAAGGGCACTTTGCCCAGCACAGAATTGAATGGTCTCTACCTTCAGAAACTGTTTCAAGAGCATGGATATATTGGTTAAACTCATAATTACAAAGTACTAAAAGTGACACTTTATCAACCACAAATCTAGTGTGTCATTAAAACTAGAGTCATCAAGTATAATTTAGTTGGATTTTGGAAGTTGAATTCTCAGAGAAAAATGAAGAGTGACTCTGATGGCTTGTTAAATTAACTTAAAGTCAGATCAGGAGAATCCCCATATTTCTTCAGAATCATACACAGATGACTTCACTTCAGTGAGAGTCTGTGGAGTCATAAGACTTCAGTGGCCATACCGGTATGACACTGCTGCCAAGAGCCTGAGCCAGCAGGTTAAAGCTCACAATGTTTTTGATGTATAATACGTTTTCTCGAAGAGTTTCTGGTCTAAATAAGGAGATGTACATACATATACACACACAGACTCGTATAATATGAGAAGTACTAGGAAGTTCAAAGAAAATAAACTGTTATATAGTAGCATACAGGATAGAGCATTGAATTACAGCTGAGTACAATGAAGATTTCATAGACAAGATGCCACTTGAGTAAGTCTTGAAACAATAGAGGGATTACAGAGCAGGTTTTTGAGTATAGATTTCACAGTTGTCCTTGAATTGAGTCAGGTTTACCTTGTTACTGCTCTAAATAAAGTAGTAGCTGTGTGAACAAAGGTATGGAAGCTGGGGGAGTCCCATTCTAGTTCAGTACCCAAGTAAATCTGGAGCACAGCATATCCAGGAAGTATGACTGGTCTGGAAATTCAGGATAGGACCAGTCTTTGAAGGACTGTGAACGCATGCTGAGGTGTTTGGACTTTTCTTTTGTAGGTCATTTTGGAGCAGAAGAGATGTGATCAGATCTTTATTTTAAGAGTAAACTGGTGGCTAGTTTACTAGGGAAAGAAGCTAGCAATGACTAGCATTGCTGTGAACCTCATCAGACACCACCCCCGCTTCCCTCCCTCCCCCCCCCCCCCCCGTTCCCAAAGAACCACAAATTTTTCTATATTTGTCTTACAGATCTATGTAGTACACTTATACATGGGTCATTTCATGACCAACTGGCCTTTGTAAAGTCTTTGAGTAAATTCTGAACATTGCTATTTTGTAAAGACTTCAGATAGGCTGAGTTTGAGTCAGGTGTTTTAAACAACAGAAAAATATCTTTGGACTCTTAACTATTGCAGTTTCACATTAGAAAAAAAAAAAAGTACTTTTAATAGTTTCAACTAGCCAGCCCAGGCCACTTCTCCTTTAACAGCTTTAATGGCGCATGCTTTACAGACCAAAAAAATCATCCATTGTAAGGGTACAATTAGTGGTTATTAGCACATGTATCAAGCTGTGTGACCAAAATCACATACACCTGACAAGATTTCCCACCACCCCAGTAACTTTCCCTCCATGCCTACTCCCACCCGGACTCCAGGTAATCCGTGCTTTGCTTTATAAAAACATCTTTTGTGGTGATTTTATATAAGTGGAATCTTGTAATAAACAGTCTCTTTAGATCACCCACATTGTAGCTTGTATCATCATTTTGTTGCTGAATAGCATTCCATTTTGTGTTCTGGTGTGGCCCTGCAGGATAAGCACTGGATTGGTAACCACAAGGTCAACAGTTCAAACTCTTCATCGGCTCCTCAGAAGCCTTATACTACAGGGTCACTATGAGTTGGAACCAACTCGACCACACACCACCACCACCACAGTTGTATTTTATCTATGTGCCAGTTGATAGACATAAGAATTTTTCCTGATTTTAGCTATTCTGAGCAATTACTACTATGAGTGCTCTTGTGCATGTCTCTGTGTAGGTATTTATTTTCATTTCTCTTGGGTGGATTCCTGAGAGTAGAATTCCTGGATTGTATAGGAGCTCTGGTAGCGTAGCAGTTATGAGTCTGACTGCTAACCTTAAGGTCAGCAGTTTGAAACTACCAACTGTTCCGTGGAAGAAAGATGAGGCTTACTGCTCCCGGAAGGATTTACAGCCTTGGAAACCCTACATAGGATTGCTCTGAGTTGGAACCGACTCCATGTCACATAACCACCACTACCATCCTAAGTTTGTTTTCTACTTTTTAACTATAAAGTAGCGAAACAATGTTTATAGACAACACGGTCATGTTTATAGTTCATTTTAAAAATTGGGTTTGTTCTCGGCTCCTGAGAGAGAACCTCTAATACCTTAAAATTTCCTCAGTGGCTGGAGTCTTTGGGATTTGTGAAGGCTAGAAGTGGGACTGGGAGACTGGTGGCTCCAAACCATAGCTAGTTGGCAAGTTATGTTAATGAGGTAAGCATTGGGTGGGGGCCATCAGGCCATAAGGATCCATCACGTGATATAAGCCCAACCTCATGTCAGCACAGGGAGGTAGAGGTTGGATTCAGCCACGTGGGCCATGGCTCACTCAGTTATGCCTACGTAATGACACTGGCTCTGGACACTGAATCTTCATCAGCTTCCTGGTCAGTGAAAGACATCAGTGCTTGGAAGGGTGATGCATTCCTTTCTGGGGACATGGGAAGCTCTCCTAGACCTTACCCTATGTGAATTATTGAACTTGAGAATACTAGGAGCTGCCAGGTCAGAAGTAAGCATTTCATGGGGGGGACCTCTAAGCTTGGTTTCAAAAGTTTTGGGCAGACTTGGCAATCTGAAGGACTGTGCCCTTTACCTTATACATAGAAAAACCCTTGTTGTTGTTGTTAAGTGCCATTGTATCAGTTCCGACCCATAGCGACCCTGTATAGGGTTTCCAAGGAGCAGCTGGTGAGTTTGAACTGCCAACCTTTTGCAGTTCAAATGGTTTTGCAGTCTAATGCATTAACCCATAGCACCACACCAGGACTCCTTAGGAATCTACAAAAAAACCCTGTTAGAATTAATAAATGAGTTTAGTAAGATCCAAGATCGGTACTTAAAAACTACTTTATTTGCTACAGTAGTGCCACTACTGACCATCTAGAGCAAGGCCTGACATTTTCATGTCCAATAATAAACTGAGCTGCTTGGTTTTTGTTATTTATTAGATGCCATCAAGTCAGCTCTGACTTATGCACAGCAGAATGAAAATCAACAGAACGAACATCCCCACAGCCACTAGTGTTTGGGCCCATTGTTGCGGACACTGTGTCAGTCCATCTTATTGGGGGCATCTTTCTCTTTGCTGACCCTGCACTTGACTGTCCTTTTCCAGGGACTGGTCTCTCCTGGGACATATCCAAAGTACTTGAGACCAAGTCTTGCACCCTTCCTTCTAAGGAGGACAGATTTGTTTGTTCTTCTTTCTGGTAGTCCGTGATATTTTTGGAAACCCTATTCAGGGTCTCTATGAGTCAGACATGACTCCACGGTACACCAGCAACAACAACAACAACACTGTTCAAATGCAGCACTTCTTCTCTGGTGTTCCTAATTCATTGTCCAACATTAACATACATATGAAGCAAGTGAAAAGACCATGGCCTGGGTCAGGCACACCTTAGTCCTCAGAGTGACATCTTTGCTCTTTAACATTTTAAAGAGGCCTTTTATAGTAGATTTGCCCAGTGCAGTATGAGCTCTCTTAGGAGGTAATAAAGTTACCCATGGTAATAGGTATATAAACAGAGACTCTAAACTAGCTAGGAGTCCTGATGTGGCACGTTGGGATAAACACTGGACTGCTAACCACAAGGTCAACTGTTCAAACCCACCAGCTGCTCCTCGGAAACCCTATACAGGGGCGCTGTGAGTCGGAACTGACTCGAAGGCACTTAGCTACAACAACTGGTAAAGCGATGTTCATCCTTGCGCCATCTATCCCATACAGTACTCAGGTCATAAATAGAAAACCTGTGTATCAGTGGGTTTGAATTTTAGATTCGGGATCTTATACTATCATAGTTAGGTGAATTAATAAGGTGGCAAATGAAGGATAATGAATGAAGTGAGAAAGGTTAGTAAACTTCCCTGGATGTTGGAGAGCAGAGTTTAATATTAGACTGAAACTTTCGGTGTGGCTCTTGAAGCCCTATTATCTTAAGTCTCACACTAGAGTTGAAGCCATGACTCTGCCGTGAGATCACCATTGCCTCAGACCTATGGTAATTGTGTAACTAGACTCATCCATACTGTGTATATTATTCCATACTTCAATAAAGTAGCAGAAAACATTGAGGTCTTAGCATACATAAGACTTTTAATGTGCAGTTTGACAGCTGTTGCATGCTGCTTTCAGGACTACAAAGATTACTTGGGCACTGCTGTGTCCTTCTGTGAGACGTTTTATTCTCAGCCATCACACCCTCCCTCCCACCCACCCCCCCGTCCTTGCGCACTACCATTACAATGATGAGAAAGTCTGCTTGCACTACAGTGATGTGTTTTGAATAGTGCCCATTAGTTTTCCGTAGTTACCCTTAGCCTGCATGGTAGCCTTCAGTTTAATGGCCTTTTTTATGTTCATTCATTTTATTTTATTTCCCATCGTGGTTTTGTTTATTTCTTTTTGTTTTTTTGTTTTTTCTGTTCTCTTTTTAAAAACCGTCGTGGTTTGCCCTTCATATTCCCCACTGTTTGCACATGACAAGATGTTGCCATCCCAACATTACCTCCCACTTCACTGACCAGTGCCACTACTGACCATCTAGCACCAGCCTCAACAGGACCACTGCCTTCAGCTCCTCGGGATGTCGTGGCCTCGCTGGTCTCTACCCGCTTCATCAAATTGACGTGGCGAACCCCGGCATCCGATCCTCATGGAGACAACCTAACCTACTCTGTGTTCTACACCAAGGAAGGGATCGCTAGGTAAGTGCTCTAGTGGCTGCACACTCACACTCACCCCGCCTGTGTTGTGCAGATATGTACACGTTTTTGGTCCAGAAAACTCAATCACTAACCAAGATGCATCTTTCCCCATTTTAGGTCATTAAAAAAATATTCCAAAACAGACTGAGAATTTCCTGGTATTCTTCCCAGCCTCTCTGAGACAAGTTGAGGAGTGTGTGGATGGGATGGGGGAGCAAAAATATTTAGATGGAAGTATTAAAATGTAAGGCTACCCTTTTTTCAGCACAGCTTATAGGAAGGATATGGCTTCCTTAGAATTTTCAGATGCTAGAGATGGATCAAGGCAGACTATTAATTTATTAGAGTAAACTGAAATGAATATTTGCCTGCGTTCTTATGTGGATGTGGGCTGCTGAGCTCCAGAAAGTCTCCTTGATGATGCAAGAATAGTTACTGACAACACGCCATCTCTGAGTTGAAATTGACTCAGCAGAACCTTACAACACCAATCTTTCTAAAACAGCATTTTGATTAAATTCTTCTCTATCTCCATTTCTCTCAGAAAATCATAATGTTTTTCCATTGCTTATAGGGAAAAAAAATCCAGAATCTTCAGAGTGCTCTACACTCTGACTGTATTTGATCTATCCAACCTTATTTTTTTCCTCTTCCCCAGTTTGATCTCAGTTTCTAATGACACTAATCTTAGTCCTACCACTCTAGCTTTTTCCTACGTGCTGCTGTCTTTAGCCATTTCCTCCTCCCCTTTTCTAGCTAAAATACCTATCCCTTTTTATGTATGAGGATAAATCAAAAAGTATTGTTACTAGGGCTCCAGTTCATGTGTACACAGGTTTATTCCAAACAAAACATGTTTAAACATGTTTCTGCCATCAGTGGATGGCTGCAGACACATTCTCTCAGCAATATGCTTGTCTTAATCTCATTAGGTGCCTTTGGCAAAATGGTCCCTACAAAGCAGAGGCTTCTGAGGGGATCTACTGGGCCAGTTATATCCCAGGCAGGGATGTTGGCTCAGAAAACTATGGTGACTGGATTTGAGGGGTCCAAAGGGATGGCATCTTGATAGATTTTCTGAAAGGACACAATCATGGGGTCTTACTGAAAGAAGTTTTAAGAAAATTGATACTGCATTGGTGAGAAAAAGGCCAGGAAAATTGCACTGAGGAATTTTTTTCCATTATGACAATACAGCTGTTCATGTTTCCAGGGTACAAAGTGCTGTCCTCTGTGAATTTCCTTGGGAAACTGTACCTCATTCACCCTACACCCTGACCTTGTCCTTTCAGACTTCTTTTGGTTTCTGAAACTCAAACCACTTTGAAAAGGAACACGTTTTGAGTCCCTTGAGTATGCTAAAACTGCTTTCTTGATGTGGTGTAAATTGAAGAAAGCAGAATTCTTAAAGAAGGATCGGAGAGATGGAAACACTGCTTTCTGAAATGTATAGACTTAGATCAAGAAACAGTAGTTTCACATTTTAATACTTTTGTTTAATAAAGGGTTCTGTGATTTTATAGCAGTATCTTGACTCACCCTCTTGTATTTGTGTCTGTATGTGTATATACTGTCAGTCAATCCTTCTTAGCCTGAGTGAAGCCCCATTAAAGCCACCCCCCATAGCCTTACTTTTACCAGCAATATTGGCACTTGACCATGACAGCACATGATCTTTTTAGGTATGTTCGTATTGTTTTCTCAACTGTGTTATAAATTCTTTGAGAGGAACTATGCTATGTGCCATGTATCTTTAGTGGGACTGAGTATGTGGGGATTCAGTGGGAAGTAAATTCCTTCATTATGCTCTGATTTCACACCAAAATAAGAAAGCCAAAATCTCCGCTTTAGTTAGAGCCCTGACACGTGAAACAAAGTGTGCTTTCTGCTGGCATGAGAATGAGGGCAGACACAGAGAAGAGCAGGAATGCCTTTCCCTCCTCACATCTTCCTCTGTCTCCTCCTTGTCTGTCAGTCTCAGCTAGCACTGCCCCAGGCTTTCCTTGAATACCCTCCCAGAGTTGAGCTTTCAGGCCTTGCCACACAGTGTACACTGGAGCCAGCTTATTCCCAAGTGAAATCTTCAGGACATTTGGAAAACCTGATAGTATTTGGTAGCTTGAAATTGATCATGGTTGGAACTGTTTTGCTTTTTTTTTTCAGTTTTTCTTTTTTTTTAACTTATTATGTCTATCTTGTTCAACTTTATTTAATCTCTCCAACCTTATTTCAGGTATTACTGCTACCTGAAATAGAACCTCGTATAAGTAATACTCAATAAATATTTAAGTGAAAAATTAACTTCATTTCATGGAAAACTAATAGATGATTCAGCAAAATGTGTTGTGATAGTTGTGGTGAGAAAAATAAGTTTTAGACCTATTTTACACCATGTCCAATAACAAATTATAGATAGATTATTGATATTATTGTTTTTAAGTATCATTGAGTCTGTTCCAACTCTTAATGACCCTGTATAGTGTTTCCAAGGAATGACTTTTGAGTTTGAACCATCAACCTTGAAATTCAAACTGACCTACAGTTCACTGCTTATCCTACAGCCCCACATCAGGACTTCATAGATAAATTATTGTTGTTAAATGCCGTCGAGTTGGTTCCAACTCACAGTGACCCAATATAGCGTTTCCAAGGAGTGCTGGTGAGCTTGAACCACTAACTTTGCAGTCCAGCACATTACCCTGCAGCACCACACCAGGACTCCATAGATGGATTGTTGTTGTTGTTAAGTGTTGTCAAGTCGATTCCGACCCATAGCGACCCTGTATAGGGTTTCCGAGGAGCAGCTGGTGAGTTTGAACCATCAGCCTTGCAGTTCAAATGACTTTGCAGTCTGACGCATTAGTCCATAGCACCACACCAGGACTTATAGCTGGATTATTAGATAAATATTTTTTAAACCTGTGAATGGACTGGAAGAAAGTATTTTTCATCATTTTGGGGGGACTAAGAAAGACCTTTTCAAGGAACCTAGAAAATTCTGGAGCCATAACAGAAAGACTGATGGAGTTCATGATACACAAAACTCCATTTGATAAAGCATTATAAACAAGATAAAGGTGTCAAGTAGCAAACTGAAAAAAATGTTCTGTACCATTTGTAAAAGATAATGTATTGATAATCCAGTTTAAAGAATGATAACACATCAGTGTGTAAAGATACTGCAGAGACAGAAGATATGAGCAGGTGATCATCGCAGAAGTGACAGGGATCCCCATTAGAGTTAAAAAGAGAAGGTTTTCACCAAATGCAAAATAATGAGTTCTCGTTTTTCATCCATAAGGTTGGCACAAATTTTAAGTTGATACTATCCAGTGTAAATGAGTGAACAGACTGAGATGAAATTCATTCAAGGCTGCTAGTGGCAGTATATGGACTCCTGATATGATGCTGTAGGGTAAGCATTGGACTGTGAACTACAGGTCAGTGGTTCAAACCCAGCAGCCACTCCTCAGAAATCCTATAGACAGTGGCTGTGAGTAAGAACCAACTCTGTTGTACTTAACAACAACAACAACAACCATAGCAACAGTATAAATTAGAATAGCTTTCAGGGAAGGTGATTTCACAGTGTTTTTAAATCTTTTTTTTTTTAGTCTTTTTAATGTACATACCTTCAGCTCAGTTATTTCATTTATACTTATCTGTCTTCAGATAAATACGCACAGGGAGCTCCTACAAAATATGTGTCATAGCATTGTTAATAACAAGCAAAAACAATAATATAAATGTCCTTGATAGAGCAATAAGCAAATAATACTTGCATGGTCGTGTGGCGTATGATGCAGAAATGTTTAGATCTCTGTATTTTGATGTATATGTCGATACATAGATGAGTGATTCTCAGCAGGGGACATTTAGCAACATCTGGAGACATTTTAGTTGTTACTTGATGTGGTGCTGTGGCTAATGCTTTCACCGCAAGGTCAGTTTGAATCACAAGCTTGGCACTTCAAACTCACCAGCCACTCTTAGAAAACCCGTTCTATGAGTCAGAACCGACTTGATGGCACTTAACAACAACAACTATGCTTAAAGGATAAGATGCTACCGGTATCTAGTGGATAGAGACCAGGAATGCTACTGAATATTCTGCAATGCACAGGACAGCCCCCATGACAAAGAACGGTCTAGCTCCAAATGCCAACAGTGCTGAGAAACCCTGGAATGGAGAGATACGGTCTTGGGATGTGGGAGGTTTTCAGGAAGAAGAATTGGGGCTTCAAAATATTTTTTTGAATTATATATACTTTGTATTTAAATGTTTTTATAAATGAGAATGCATCACTTTTAAAATTATAATGAATGGATACAGGGTTGGAGTAAGCAGGGATGATCAACAAATGAAGTTGGAATTGAGAGATACAAGAATTACTGGGACAAGAGGACAAGTGTGTATAAAGGAAGAGGTGCCATAAGGTCCAATTGAATTTGTGTTTTCTCATGTGTGACTTTTAGCATGGTGAGAAAGCTAGCCTAACTGGCCTGGAGTTTGGGACAGGAACTAGTGACCCCATAGGTGACACTCTAGGAGAGCACTGAACTTCTAACCACAGGATCAGTACTTCAACAAGCCCATCAGTGGCTCCATGTGAGAAAGTTTGGCTGTCTGCTCAGGTAACAATTTACGGTCTGAGAAACTTGATACAGGATCACTATGAGTCAGAATCAGCTTGATAACAGTAGGTTAGTGGCGATTAGTCTAAAATTCATATCTGGAGCCAGATGTTGGAGATAAATCAGATAAGCAAGAAGGGACTATTCTAGTTTCCTGAGCAGGTGTGAAATTTTAAAAAACTGTTCCTAGTAAGACCCCTTTGGGAGCATTAAACAGGAGTAGAAGGGAAAAGGAAGAGAGTCGCAGAGACACTTCAGGTTAGTAGTATCTATGTTCATCAAGGCATGTAATGGAAACTGGCCTGTATTAAAATGAAAGCAGTGACTTGGAATGGATAGGATAAATCTGGGAAATATTTCCAAGGATGAGTCTTTGAAACTGGAGGTTTTGGGGTGTCACTTTGTTACTTTAAATTTCTGATTTCTGAAGAAAGACAATAAAGAAGTAGTACAAAACACACAAACCAGGAAGACTTTATTATAACTCCTGGTTTCATAAACAAAGTTTAGTTAACCTTTCTAAGCTTAGTTTCTCTCATTTAGAAAATGAGGGTAATAACTTTACTTCAGAGACTTCACAAGAAATGCGAGGCTATGTACCGTTAACTGCAGCCCCCACATCCCACATTTGAACATTCAACCACCAGGTGGCACTGTGTGCCTTGGTCATGAGATACAATTCTACTCGGTAGCTGAGTTGCCAGAGATTCCAAATGGTCCTAACTCATAATTTTCAACTATTAAAAGTTTATCATTTAATTAAAACAACTGTACTTATCCAATAGTAACTGCTAAATGGAAAGTAGAGAGCATGTCAGTCCAGAGATTGATAGCATTTTAGAGCTGGATGAAGATGTAGGGATCTGCTAGTCTAGTCCAGGAGTTGGCAGACCATGGGCCTGCCATAGTAGCTAAAGAATATCTTCCAATTTGCCTGTTGGTCTGCAAATACAGTAGAAACCTGTCAGAACGGGAACTTAATGGAACTGCCATGTTTTTCCTGGTTTTGAGACATTTTGTCTTTTGATAGGGTGCAGTCTTAACACTTTTCTAGTGGAAAATATTTGAGTTTTTCTTCTCTAACAGATTTCCACCGTATAGGTTCTGGCTTTTCATGTTTCACTGTATTTACTATCAGGTTCTTTAAGAGAAGTCTTCTGACTCCTGGTCTGATTATTTGATTTTAATACATGACGAAGGACACTAAAGCCCAGAAAGGGTTTGGTGACTGACTGACTGTGGGCACATAACAAGCTGGTAGCATTCATTGTCAGAACAAGAACTGGATTACCTAACTTCAGTCTAAAGTGAAATCATCCTTCCTCCCACTTTCTCTCTAGAAGAGAACTTATTTAAACTTTGTAAGTGCAAGGGGAGCAAAACAGACTTGTTCGATCTCCTGGAGCTTTGAATTTAGCAAAATATCTGACTTTTTAGAACTTACAAAAGCCAGAAACTACAAGGTGTATGAAACCATTTGAGATCCTCCTTTGGGTTCTATGATTTAAAGGTTTAGCTGAAGGAAAATACAGGTATTTATAGATCGTCTCAAATGTCTCCGAGCAGTGATTACTATTACCACAGTACTCTTTTTTTGCAGCAGGCCTAACTGATTACAAAGAACCTGCCTCTATAATATGGTGTGGGACAATGTTGAATTTCTTATTGTTAAATTAAAATGAGGTAGAATTAAAATAAGAAGTATAGAAAACTGTTGAAAAACACTTAAAATCCCTCAAATGCAAAGGTTCAGACAACAATCAGACAAATTGACATATGGTCATATAGATCTTTTAAAAAAAATTAATTGCTGATTTCAAGAAAAATTAACAATATGTTTAAGTAAGAATTTTATTTCAACAGATGAGATCATTCAGAATACTTTCTCCCACAGATTCGTTTTGGCTCTTTGATTAACTTTCTCAAGAGAGGGACACGTCTTTTCTCTTATGACTATAATTCTTAAAGACCCACTATTTGTCTGAAATAGTACTTCTTTGAAAATATTTGTTGAAGATTACTGTGTAGTATAATCTGTTTTTTACCATAGTAAGTGCAGTAGACTGAACATGCATATAGACGCAGTATAAACTCAGAAACATCAATATAGAGCTTGGAGTCGACCTTTTAAAGAACCTTCAAAACTGCTTTTCATCTCCTCAGATGACAAGACCACGGGATTCATTTGTACTGCTTGTATGGTAATGTTACTAAGTGACGTTGAGGTTCATACCAACCTTGTGGTCAAGTGTTTATAATAAGATTTGTCAAACATTTCAAATCAATTTGAAATCATCCAAAAGAGTACTAATTTGAAGAAATAAAGTATAAAATTCAGGTTAGGTTTACATATAGGATTCATTTGAATGTTAATGTTTTCCTTCCTAATTTTAAAAGTGATCACATCTAGTTTTTTTGTTTAAATGAGAGTCTCTTATCCAAAACATGCACAGTATCCTTTGGATTGTTTCTGTGAGAATTAGGACATAACTTATAAACCGCTTTCAGTTGATTTCCTGAAGAATCATCCTCTAAACTCAATGATTTCTAAAGCCTAAAAGATGATGACAAGCTACTTCATTTGAAATGGCCCTCCGAGCTCTCTGTGTTCTATGTGACAGGAAGTTGTGATTATTTATAACCAATACCAATGTTCAAGCCAGAGCGCCAGCAATTAGCAGACATGAATGGCCATGCTCTTTGCTGCTGTCATGTTCTATGTGCTGCCCCATCCCTAAATTGTTCACAGTTTTAGAAACTAGATTTAATTTGACCTAAAATTGTTAGACTTTGATCTGGAGTGGCGCATACAGTCTTTGTGATGAAAACGAAATGTTATATCTTCGAGATATTACTAATTAATGGTGTTTCTTTCTAAATTCTTCTTTGTCTCAAGGGAACGTGTTCAGAATACCAGTCGCCCAGGAGAAATGCAGGTTACCATCCAAAACCTGATGCCAGCAACTGTGTACATCTTTAGAGTCACTGCTCAAAATAAGCATGGCTCTGGAGAGAGTTCAGCATCACTGCGGGTAGAAACGCAGCCTGAGGGTAAGCCATCCACCTTTCCACTAGTCTCACCTGTGGGTAGAGCTATATGAAGGTCTCCTTGTGGTTATCCTTGCACACACCATAGAGAGACAGACCATGATAGTTCAAGGATCTCATGGATTAAAGAAATAGAATTCATTCACATAAAGCAGCAGCAAATGATAGCCAACATGGGCTAACATGCTGTACAGCAAGGTCAGTTTGAACCACAAAGTTGGCAGTTCAAGCTCACCAAGGGGTCGGAACCAACTCAAGGGCACTTAGCAACAACAATAGTGGTTCATTACATATTTAAATTTTCATGATCTTTTAAGATCTAGCCCAGATTCCTTTCAGAATCTTTTGTATCTCTACAGTTCTAGCATACATTATGCCTTTTATCTTTGGATTACGATTATGAATATATCTCATGTACCCTATGACAAGACTGAGTCTTTTTCATCTTTACATGTCCCACACTGTCTAATGTCAGGCTTTCCACATGAAAAAGATATTTAATAATTGTCAGTCAGATTGCCCTAATCTTTATACACTGAGTCCTGGTGTGGCGCTATAGGATAAGCACTCAACTGCAATATTGGTTTGAACCTCAAGGTTGGCAATTCAAATCCATGCAACAATCTTTATACAGACTGCACTCTTCAGAATCTCTTTTTAAATTTTTGTGCTAAATAGTGTTATTTCTGATTCAATTTCTTAGGCTTTTCTGCAATTAAAAAGTACATTAGATGGATTTATTTTATGTTGTAGTTAAATGCCGTGGAGTTGGTTCCAACTCATAGCCACCCTGTGAAGGGTTTCTGAGGAGTGACTGGTGTGTTTGAACCACCGATATTCTGGTTCAAACTGACCTTGAGATCCAGTGCTTATCCTACAGCACCATATCAGGACTCCAGACTTATAGATTTCTTAATACCATAAATCTTTGTTACAAACTATAGACGTGAAATTATAAGAAACAGTTGAGTCCTGATTGATGCTTTGTCACTTGAGATTTTTTTCTAGACTTTGCCTTCTGTCTGCATCTTCCAGTCTTCTTTAACGCTTAACTGCACTAGTTGGTTTGTTTGTTTGTGTTTGTTTGTTTGTTTTTGTTAACAGCCTCCAATAATAAAGATTTTATTTCTGAAAGTGGGCATGTGAGATATATGTGTGGAAGTTATTGATCAGAGAACCAGACAGATTAAATGAAGAATTTGCCAGTGAAATTATGGGAGTAATTCAAGAACTTTACCTTCTGGGTAGAATAAATGAAGTAAAAAAGCTAGGAACGTCACTTTCTAATGCTGTAGTAAATATTCACTCCTCAAATATTTATTTAGCACCTCTCATGCCAAACATTAGAAGAAAGACCTGGTGACCTATGTCTGAAACAGTCCTGCAGCGAAAGCTGTGGATCCCATTGTGCGAGGGTCTCCATGAGTAGAGGTAGTTAACATTCCAGACACCACACAAGATAGATGTTAGGAATGTAGGGGTGAATAAGATAGGAATTCTCCCTTTAAATAATGAGCAGTCAGTAAAGAAAGCCATTGATTATTTCTTTGATAGAGATTGAAGATCAGGGATCATACCCAGGCATTATTTAAGAGGGCTATAAGATTAGAATCAAGGGGTTGACTTAAAGGCAAAATAAATTCTCATTACAGGAAAGGATGTTGAATTTCACAGTTATCCTTGTTCAGACATGAGTAGGAGCATGCCATTCGATTTCAAACTCAGTTGCCTCCATCAGTATTCCTAGACAAGCTTTACACTTGAGAGTTAATTGGAGAATGAGAAAAACTTATTGAAGAATAAGAATAAGAGAGTTATGTAGAATAAGGAAAAATGACTGCAAAAGATAACTAAGTCAGGGCAGTTCCTAGGAAAAGATGAAACCTGAGGTTTGCCTTGAAGTATTTGACTTTGAGCGTTATGGAGGAAGGAAGCTGCCTGACCTGAATCTCAGAAATAGAATCCAACAGTGTCCAGACAAGGTGAGTCATGAAGAAAATGAAGGGAAAAGACCGCTGTATTTGATCAAGTGCAAAGATTCTCTCCTGAGTCTGTGAACCTTCTGAAAATGCATGAGAATGTTTGTGTGTTTGTGCATCTTCACATTTTTCTTGGGAGAGAGCTTTTGTTATTATTTCAGAGCTTGTGAGTCAAATTAGTGAGAACTGCTGGATTTGGAAGTTCACTGTCAAATTTAGAGTTCAAAAGAAAAGATGTAAGGAAGAGTAGGTCTGCTGAGTCATTCAAGTAGGCTACCTTGTGTCATTCTCTGTGTGTATGCTAGGCAGTGACTGTGTGAAAATGAGTAAGCCTTGAGTCTTATCTGCCAGGATAAAAGTTCAGTCTGTTAGCAGAGGCAGACAAGCAAATACGCCATTTTAATTGCATTAAAAGTGTTACTATTGAAGGGAAGGAGACAACAGCAGTATTTGTTCCAAAAGTTTGGCTAAAAGAAAGTAGTTAAATAAGACTGTGTATAGAAGGGTCAGCAGGTCCTGGTGATGAAGGTATTTTAGGGATAGCGAGAGAATCTAACATGTTTTGGCAAAAGAGCAGGAGTTAGTGGAAAAAGATATGCGTTTCATCTGGAGGTATTCAGCTTGTGTGGGGGAAGTGTGAGAGTTGGAATCCGCTCTTGAAAATATTTTACATATTTAGCTTTGCAAACCAACTTAAATTTTTCTCCCATTTATTATGCCACGGTGCAACTGAAAACGAAGGAATTCATTAGCGCCTTTTTAAGGATCATATTTGCCTACACTGAGCCAGTGAATATATTGAAAGTAATTTCAAGGGAATTCAGGAACTGTTTTGTTTTCCTTCTCCTTTAATAAGTTAGAGGAAAGTTTTCCATAGCAGCAAAAGTGTGACAAACCCCACCTGTTAGGCTGCACAAAATATGCTCTTAACATTAAATGAATAGCATGATTCACGAGTAAATATAGCAAACAACTGCTAGTGTAACCATATTCAGGTTTCTCCACTTTGATAGCAAAACTAGTCTTGAGCTGTGGTGATGTTTTTCCAAGAAAGCCACTTTGTTTTACATTTTGTTGTGGGTCCCCCCCCCCTTCCCAGCTCTTAAATATAATGATGTCTGTTACAGAAACACTAGTGCCAGAGAAATTGTTTTCAAATATAGAACATCTACCAAAGTGTAGGCATAGGCAGCTACCCAGGATTTGTATTTTATAAAGTAGTGCTGGATCCTGTCAGTCAAACAAAAGGATAGGGATAGGGAGGTATGTGAGCCATTGTGGGAGTTAGAACCAGGTAGACAAGATTTTGATCAACTAGTCATCCTGTCACATCTATTCTGCTGTTGTTGTTGTTGTTAAGTGTCCTCGAGTCGATTCCAACTCGTAACAACCCTGTATAGGATTTCCAAGCTTGGCTGGTGACCTTGAACCGCCAACCTTGAGGTTTAAACCAACCTTGCAGTCCAGAACACTAACCTGCAACACCGTACCAGGACTCCGTCAGTACTTCTAAGGGTATTGTAATCATCTTCTGACTGGTCTCCTTGAACCCAAGACTTAGAATACGCTCAATTCCTGGCTCCATCACTTACTAACTTCCCCTCACTTGGGAACAGTTCTTAACATTTCAACCTCAGTTTTCCCATCTCTAAGTGAAGATGATAATAGTATGTCTCACGTTAGGGTTATTGCAAAAATCAAATAAGAAAATATATGCAAAGCATAAATGTTTGATTATAAGTATTCAGTAAAGAGCCGTTTAAAAGATAATAATATTGTCCTTTAACCTAGTCTTATTCTCTTACTGTGTTTCCTGTATGCCTGTGTTCAGATGGCCATACTCCTGCTTGTAATGTCGTACTTTTTACCTAATACCTGTGGGAGAAAGTCCAAACTCCATAGCATTAAAGGCACTTCATTTTCTGGTTCCTGTCATCATTTTCAGCATTAACTTTTCCCACATTTATTCTCTATTTCAGTACCACTGTGTCTTTTCACATATCCTCCCCATTGACCCCTTGAATTGTCTTCTAGATATCTGAGCAAAATCCTACTCTTGATTCCAACAAGTTTTCCAGTCCTTCCGTTTCCTGCTTATCCCCTCCCAAAGCAGAATTAAGTACTCTCCTCTTTGTGTATGTGTTAACACCCTTACCCAAATCTATTAGCATATATCTTCATTCTCTAGTGTGGCTATAACAGAAATACCGTAGGTATTTACCACAGGCTGTAACAGAAACACCACAGGTGGAGGGCTTGAACAAACAAATTTCTTCTCTCTCAGTTTGAGAGGCTCGAAGTCTGAATCCAGGGAGGGGCAGCTCTAGGGGCAGGCTTAAATTCTGTTTCCTTGCATAATCTGATCTTTTATCTCTCAAAAGAGATTGATTCAAGATACATCCTACTCTAACACTGTCCTTTTAACATAAAAAAGAAAACCCATCCCCAAAGAGGGTTATAACCACAGAGACACAAAATACAGACCCATTGCCACCAAGTCCATTCTGACTCAGAGAGATCCTGGATTGGGTTTCTGAGGCATAGTGGTTACGAATCGGGCTGCTAACCTCAGGGTCAGCAGTTCTAAACTACCAACTGTTCCGTGGGAGAAAGATGAGGATTTCTGCTCCCGTAAAGATATGTAGCCTCAGAAATCCTGTCAAAATGAGTTGGAACCGACTCCACAGCACATAACAACAACAACAACAACAAGTCTTCATGGGAGCAGAAAGCTCATTTTTCTCCTAAAGGATGGCTGGTGGGTTTGAATTGCCAACTTTATAGATAGCATTCTAATGCTCAGGGGTTAAAACTAATACCATATATTTTGGTTGTTGTTGTTGTTGTTAAGTGCCATCGAGTCGGTTCCGACCCATAGCGACCCTGTACAGGGTTTCCGAGGGTGTAAATCTTTACGGGAGTAGAAAGCCTCATCTTTCTCCCGCAGAGCGGCTGGTAGTTTTGAACCGCTGACCTTAAGGTTCGCAGCCCGATTCGTAACCACTACGCTACCAGAGCTCGGGACATAATTCGACCTTTATCAGTATGCATGGCATTATGTGTAGCTATTTTCATGTCTGATTTCCCTTATTAGGCTGTGTTCTTTGTGGTAGTTGTTTTTGTGGGATTTTCAGCCCCACAGCAAAACTAGGACTTTATAAACCATAAGAAGGGTTCTGCAAGTTTTCTTTTTTTTTTAAGTTTTTATTGTGAACTGAGTGATAGTTTACATGGGAGAACATCAGTTTTACGTGCATCCTATCGTATTTTGTTTCATTGCAATGATTACAATCCCCTCCATGCATCATCATTCAACAGCATTTGCTTCTATTCTCTCTGTTTTGTTTTTGTTTTACTGTAAACAAAAACACTAAGGAATATATAATCATTTAAACAGCCATTCAAAGGGCACATTCTGCAAATTTGCCTCCTGGATGCCATCACACAGCTTTTCTCTTTCCATGAGTCTGGAGTCCTCAGCTGTTCTATCTCTCCATGTCCTCATCTCTGCCTCCATCTTTGGTGTTGCTGCTTCTATGAATAGGGTCCTACATTCCACTCATGTTCTTCTCCCTCAATGGTCCTAGGGTCCTCTGTTCTTGGACTGTAAGATTAACTACTACCCCTTTTTGTTACAGAACTTCTACCTTTACAATTGTGATGATTGCAGTTAGTCATGATAACAGTTACTCACTTTTGAATCATAAGAATCTCATCCCTGTTTCCTTTCACCAGACCCGTCTAGACAGATGAAAACTATTCAGTGGGAATTATACCTTCCCCCACACACACTGAAACTCAAGCCTGTCACTTCATATCTTTATCGCCTCCCTCCCCCATTTTAGGTAACCAATGTCTAAGTTGCCCATTCCTATCAACCCTTTGTACAGAGGGTATAGGATTTGATCCTTGATGTGGAGATTCCTTCCCTCTTACTTGCTATTTCGAGCTACTACATCCATAAATATAGGACACATTCCTCAAATTTGTAGCAATTTATACTTGTTTCCTTTATCAAAAATTTTTTATCTTCCTCTAGTTGAGTTCTAATCATCAAGCCATTGAAGTTAGGTCACATGGGTACTTCTTGTGTGTCTCCCCTCACTTCATATCAGCTAGATACTTCACTCTCAGCTCTAGTCCTCTGTGGCTATGTCCTTGTCCATTGGCTCAGGAATTCCCAGGTCTCACCAAACTTCAGACCAATCAGCCCTTCTTCTCTCTCTCATCCCCAGGTCGACGGAAGTCTATGAAACGTGGTCGAATTCAGTCCATATCTTCATTGCTGCCTTTCCCCCACTTCCACTCACCAGTAGACCAGCGTGGTCGCCAGCAAGCTTACATTCCTGCTCGTGTGTTCCCTTTGAGTTTCAGTCTTGGAGAGGAGAAGGGTTTTGCAGTTTTCATTTTTTCAAAATTATTTTTGAATCAATTTGAGATACTTCACAGATAATTTGTGGTTTTAACTAGACTCATGAAAAAGGAAATGCATTTAATTATATTATTATCCTAAAACCACTTCAATTAAATTACATGTTTCTTTAGTCTTCCTGATTCTTTAAACATAGCCAATATGATAATATTGCTGAGAATAGTTATTGAGGAGTGCAGTGGATTTCATTTATATCTTGTTCTCTTGAAATTTTCTTTCTAGTTCAGCTCCCTGGACCAGCACCTAATATCCGAGCATCTGCAAGTTCACCCACTTCCATCACGGTCACATGGGAAACACCGTTATCTGGCAATGGGGAGATTCAGAATTACAAATTGTACTACATGGAGAAAGGGACTGACAAGGAACAGGTATAAAGTGAAGCTATTTTTCATTCCATGTTTGAACTAGTAGAGTTGAAATGTATTTCTGAAACTCAGTATTGCTTGACTAGAAATCTGAGAGGAAAAGATTTGAAAATTACCATTTGACAGATTCAATTTCTGTGTGCCAAAGTACTCAGTCTTTTACCAGCAGGGGTCACTAAATATCTAGCAATATTTCTAAAGTAAATTGCGAATGCTTACAATTCATCTGCTTTGATCATTTAATAACATTTTATGAAAGGGGAAAAATCTGTATCTTGTATAATATAAAATTGGTGTAGTAAATTCTTTTATTTTGAAGCATTTCTTTTGACTTGAGTTGTATATGTATAAGTTGTTTTCTTTTATTCAAGGATGTTGATGTTGCAAGTCACTCCTACACCATCTATGGGCTGAAAAAATTTACTGAGTATAGCTTCCGAGTGGTAGCCTACAATAAGCATGGTCCTGGAGTCTCCACAGAGGATGTTGCTGTTCGAACATTGTCAGATGGTAAGTCTGTCTTTATTTGAATCAAATACCATGCTCAATGCCCCCGTGTCATAGGTAAAGGTCATAGGCTTTGATGTCAAGAAAATTCAGTTCAAACCTCAGCTCTGCCATTTTTTGGAAATGACTTTGATCAAGTTACTTAACATTTCTGAGCTTGTTTCCTTAAATGTAAAGTGTACACGCTTCCAACAGGGCTGCTGTAAGAATTCACTGACAGAGCATAGAGCATTATACTGTGCCTGGCACTGAACAGGCCTTCAGGATTTTTAGTTTTAGCTAGAGTTTTGTGTAAGTAAATACTATTATTTGTTCTTAACACAGACCATTTTAGGGCTGCTGGAAGGCTAGTCTTGCTGTATGTAACATCCTATTTGTATACCCATATTGCACTTTTCAATTCTTCATTGTTTTGTATGAGATTCGTTTCTCACCTGTAACTCTTAATTTCTAAGATAAATTAGTTATATACATGTACCCATGTACTTTTCAAAGTACAGCTTGCCTAAAAGATGAGTAGATAAGGTGTAGCATTTTAAAAAATTTAAAAGATACTATTTTTTTAAATAGGACAGACACTCTCAGAGCTCATTGTACCTAGCTGTTCATGAAACTATCATGTTTTTTAAATGTGTGTGTGTGTGTGTGTGACTGCAGCTCTTGTTTATAAACAGGCATGCTTGTTTAAAGCTCTAGGTTAACTCTTCTAAAGCAAATGGTCAAAGTAAAACATCATCAGTAAAGGGGCAGACTAACATAACATGCCTTCTAATGTGATGGGTTGATAAGGACACAACTTGACCTACATTGTATCCCTGCCAAAAATGTTTAACTCGACTCTGATCTTAATGAAACTAATAGACATGTCCAAATTGAGGGAAGTTATGAGGCAGAACTGACTTGGACTTTTAAAATGTATGAGTTTCATAGGTGGGACATGCAGGGCCGCTGGAGGAATCCTTTCAGAATCTAGACTAAAAAGACATGAGACAAAATGCATAGTGTATGATCATCTTTGACTAGATCTTGGATCTGGGAGTTAAAGCAGATGTACAGGGTACTATTAGTACAGTTACTTAATATTAGGGATTTATAGTTTTGTTGTGGTTGTTAAGTGCCATCGAGTCAGGTTTGACTCATAGTGACCCTGTATAGGGTTTCCGTGGAGCGGCTGGTGAGTTTGAACTGCCAACTTTACGGTTCACAGTCCAATGCTGATACTACAGTGCCATCAAGTCAATACTGTCCCATAGCAACCTTATTGCAGCAGAACAAAACACTGCCTGATCCTGGCCAACCTAACTACAGTTGCCATGCTTCAGTCCATCAATGCTGCCTCTTGGCCAGTCCATCTCATTGAGGGTCTTCCTCTTTTTCTCTGACCCTCCACCTTACCAAACATGATATCCTTCTCCAG